GTGAACATGCCAAATTTCATTAACTTTCTATGTTGGGGTATCGAGTTATACCACCGAAAAGTTCCCAGCACCGGATTCGAGGCGGGGTTTGTGGGTACAATAAACAAGGGGTACGCCCACCTTTCATCAAAAAGCATCCGAACCAGCTTTGGTGGCAACATGTTTTGTATTTCAGAGTCAAGGGAGGAATAAACTACGAGAATACAAAAATCCAGAAGCCTTCTGTGCTGGCTTTTGGAGATATATTACCGTAAACGTACTAAATATGTGGGGAATCGAGTTAGGGTAGACTCACTGCGCACTCAATAACTTCTAAACTAGCTTTGGTGGCTCCAAGATCTTTATTTCAGCAAATTTCTTTGGGGGGAGGGGGGGTCTATTACATATTATTATATACTTTGCATTAATATGTCTTAAAATGTTATTTTCTAATATAAAGGTAACAATTATTTTCGTGATAATTATATCTAGGTTTTTATTGGCGCTAGGATTATGTGTGCTAACTTCATTTCGAATCCGAGTGCTGGAATACGGGTGAGAGATTCCGCTCGGTTACTATAAGATTCTTTAACCTTACCCCCAAAAAAGGGTTTTAAAGACCTGTCAATTAAATAAGATATTCAATTTAATTTTTAACAAGAAATTGATTCACTTGAAATATCTGTTTTTTACCGATGAGAACAAATAAGAATAGTCTCGTTAAACCAGACTATTATCTTTCAGAATCCTCTAATCGTCGAACTGATTACATTATAGAGCCTGGACGTTGAAGACTAACGAAATCGAGTACTGCCCCTACTAATGACCTCGGCTTTATGGCTTTATCGCGTAAATCATTAATTTCCGTCATAGTCCGAATTTTTTTCCGTATGCAAATGACGTACGTCGTACATCCCATATAAGGTATATGTTCTACTATGCAAGGTTCTATTATGCATGTGTCTATTATGCAAAATGCAGAATGCAGAAGTGTAATGTGCAAAATAACTATCATACTGTATTTTGTATTATTGAAAAGTGTATTCTGTATTTTAACACTGTGACATTGGTATTTTAGAGCAATGGAAATTGTAAATTGTAAAACTAAAGAGTAAAATACGTATTGTGAACTACTGACATTTGCAGTTTGCACCGTGAACAATGAAATAATATTGGCAACGTTATCCTTCCATACAAATTGGAGTTTGAAAGACAGAACGGCTATTTTTACCGTTCATTAAAAAGCCGGAACTGTGTATGAATAGAGCGGGTAAAAAGAACAACTAAGTTTCCTCATGCCTATAACTTTATTCCCTTTGTCATATCTGCCTCCTAGGGTAAATATCGACTAACATATTTGTAGCCATTAAAACCCAAATCTTCCTTTTGAGCCACGGTGGCTCTGTAAGTATGGCACAGGGAGGGGTTCCTCGCGATTTCCATCCTGGTTTCCCCTTATCAGTGACGCGATTAGGAAAATTCTTCTAGTGGTTTGGATCGCACTCATTGACATACGTTTACAATAACCTATGGCAGAAAAGTAAAATGTTAAAACCCCACATCAATTTATTTCATTTCAATTATTCGTTTTCATAGATTTATAACACATCTCTTCGGTAATATTCTATAAGGTTTACAAGTAGGAAGGTTTGCCAAACTTGTATCTTTGATTTTATCTATCTTCTATCTATCTATATATATATTTGTGACCGTCGTTTGTCTGTCTGTCTGTCTGTCTGTTCGGGGTTGGCGGCTACACTAGGTCTGCCCCGAGTCTGAAATTTGGGGTAGAGGGGTAGCTCGGACCGGGGAGTAACATAGGCCAGGTGGCGTTAGTCTACCACTTCCGGTTTCGGAGTTATGACCCCCGAGCGAAGTCGGGTATCCTGCTAGTCATTTACCTATTTTTGTCTGTTTAAATATGTTTTATCAAAAACAGCTTCTGCTAATTTGTTGCTGAAAAGAATATCCTAAAAAATCGGACTCCACATTATTTACATAATTGATCCAAACTTTGATCCACTCTACGCTCGGCGTAATAACCACGCACCCCAGTGGTCTAATTCCGTTCTACTCGACTATACCATGATCTATCCATAGGGTTTCCACTATTTCAAATTATCTGCCCTGGCCGAACCAATCAAAAACAGTTTACAAACCAGTCTTATTAATTAATAACACGGCCTTCGTTTCGCGTTCGGTTGTATAAGGGTATATAACCATATTCATGTCCATTTATAGGATGCCCCACCCTAAATAAATATCTCCAAATAGCTCGACAATTACACCACCATATTTATATATATATATATATATATCAGTTTCGCAGATTTATAGTCACTAAATAAATGGCCATGCTGTTCTTAATAACCTATGACCATTTAACCATCCGGGCACTTTTGAGTGAAAAATAAGTTACGTGCCCTTGTTTTGAAATTAGTCTCGCTTAACCAGTCTACTGACCATTCCCCGTCTGATTGACAGGCCGGGATAATCATAACATAACAGAAGGCTGAAACAAGGAATTGAATTTAGAAACACGCACGTTAGGCAGCTCAACAATTGTTTTAAGAACCTTGTAAAAGTAAAATGAAAACTACTGATAGTATCATGTTCTTGTCTAACCCGAGTGTTTCAGAGATATTATTTGTACTAAACCAAAAGATGCCGCTCCTAACGGTATTGTTAATGATAAAGAAATTTAAAAAATAAAATGACCCTAATTTCTAAAGCTGCTGTAATAACCAAAAAGTTAAATATTACTACTATTCAGAATCTATCAACTACTAGTATTACGGCTGTAATGTAATAGTTGATATATGTGTAGGGAATTTCACGTGCGATGGCTATTTATAGACTCATAGACTCGTAGACTCTTGGGCGTTATCGCACCGCCTAACTAGCCAGAAATCACTTCGAGACAAGCCACTGGAGTTCAACTTTCAGTAGGGAAAATTTTCGCTGCATGGAACACCCTACCATTTATTGAATGATTTATGTAAATAATGTATATATTTCTAATTCATTTATATTTAATTGTATTATCAAAATCTGTAGTTTGTTTCACTGATTTCAAATAGGTATATAACATCAATATGTTTGACTTTTGTTATTATTATTACTATTCGTTCTTTGTCTGAAATGTTTCATTCTGTTATATGTATTATTACATGTATTATTGAACTTATACTTGGCAATTTGATTCTCAATAAAACTCTTGGACCTACATATCATATATAACCACCTGGCAGGTCTTCATTAATATATTATATTATAATTGTAATTTTTTGTGAAACATACATTATGCAAGAGGTAAATCTGCCTATTGCAGGTCTTTCTTTAGGCCTGAAATGTTATCTAAATTATTGATTAGACACTAATTAACTTATCCAGACCATAATCAACTCTCGATGTCAACGCTAGCCTGCGATATATATTGGATTATGATCCGATTTGCTGCTCAACTTTCATTCATAATTTTATCATGAACTGGATAATCGAGACTATGTTTTTATCGTACCGACTTTAGTAATGATGATCGAGGCTAGGCCGAAATTTCAATGGCTTAATTCTTTGTTCATAATTAATCAATTTGACTGAAATTTTCAGCAAATTGCCTTTACATTATCTAGTTTTTGATTATTATAGTGAGAACTGCCAGCTCTTTATCTAATCGCCCATAATGTATCTTTAATGAACACACATTTAGTATAATTTGGACTTCTCTCATTTAGGCTACCTTCTGGATAATTCCTAACCTTGTCTCTTGAAGGGGAGCCTTTGGGTTTTGCTTACTTTACCCGATGAGAGTTACTTCCCTTTGCCAACTTCCTTTGTAATTAACAAAGTATGGGATTGGTCGATAAAAAAATAGCCCAATCATTAAGGGCAGATAACTTGAAAACGTGTCCCCTCATAGATTAACCCAGTGGTTAGTGAAGTAGAACGGAATGAGACCACTGGGGATACCGAGGATGCCTGTCTCTACCCAATTACATCGCTTCCCTCCACCCATATTCTCCGTATTACCCATTTTGTCATTGTAACCCAGCCCGCATGCCTCTGTGGTCACATCTTTGAAGATCCTGATCACTACCTCTTGCAATGCTCTTTATATTCAAATGCATGAAAGGAAGCCATTGACAAACTACAATACGATCTCAAAAACATTAACTGCCTTCTGTTCGGGTCCTCAACCCACAATATTTTTAACCAAGTCCACAAGTTTTTTGATATGTCAAACAGATTTTAATCTTGCTTACTAGTTGTTTAAATTACAATATTAATTTTAAATTTACGTAACGATGTAACATATAGTATAGTATATCTTATTATATATGTATTTACACTTGCATGTGTTTGTCATTTTAACTGTGTATATACACCCATTTTGTTCCTTTGTTTTAATACTATGTATGTACATTATCTAGCGAGAGGGGTTTTACATAGGCTAAGCCTGTTCCCCAATCCCATTCAGACATCCTGAATAAAAATATTGTTTATATAAAAAAAACTGCCAGTAAACTATTATTCCCTCCGACTCACTCGCTCCCGTGCTGAAAACTTTGTATATACCAATTGGAGCCCCGAAGTCTTCAAGAGGTGGGGGGGGGGAACTCTTTGCACTGCGAAATTCTCATTTAGACTTCCAGACATTGGCTGTCTTTATTATATTATATAGTGATAGGTTGTAAAGTAATTCAAACTTGATATAGTTGTTTCATCTGAAAGCCATACGAATCTAGTAAATAAATAGAATATAATTAAATCAAGGTTCTTCCTTGTGGTTAAGAAGTCGACCCAATCTCATGGATCATACACAGTGTAGCAGTAATGTTTATACGGCGACTGGGAGCCTTTCCCATGGGGTAAAACACTTCCAATAGAATCAGCAGAGTAAACAAAAGAAGCGATGGTGTGGCTGAACATTTGCACAGCTTTTCACTACTACATTATAAAGGAGTGGGACGTTGAATCAACAAAGATACTAAAGACGGAAGAATCTGATTGGTTATAAAGTTTTCTGTGTGGTCTTAGACAGTGGTATAATATACAGGTGAACAGCGAGTTATTGGCTGTGACGAGAACTATCTGTATTCATACACACAGAGCAAGTTGGAAGAATTGGCAACATAGTACAGATACGTACCTTGGTACCAAGTACAGAACTAGAAGAATATCGGTGGAAGGAACGGGAACTGATTTTTATTTAAAGAAGAAAGTTAATACATAAAGGGTAAGTAACTATTATTATCTTGTAATACAGTACCGTACCAGACAAGAATTAACTAGGTTATTCGATAGCGTATGGTTGTGAACTTTTCAAGCAAAATAAACATTCATAAATATAATAAATGTCTGTCTTTGACATGACATATCAAGTTATATCTGATCTTGACGAAGTAATAATTGGCTCGAAGTTAAAATAATTGCAACTAAATTTATCAATGTTGGTGATTAGATAAAAGTATCCCTTTTGGTAATGCATTAAATTCTTAGGTTATTCGATAGCGTATGGTTGTGAACTTTTCAAGCAAAATAAACATCCATAAATATAATAAATACCTGTCTTTGAGATGACATATAAAGTTATATCTGATATAAATAAAATAAAACCAAGTACGAACAATCCAAACCATTACACAAAATTTGAAGTCCTAAAAAACGGTATAGGCAAAATGGTGTAATCAGAAAATGGACTGTTGACGAAGTAATAATTGGTTCGAAGTTAAAATAAATGCAACTAAATGTATCAATGTTGGTGATTAGATAAAAATATCCTCGTTTGGCAATACATTAAATTCTTAAAGGTGCTGGATCTCTTTGATTTAGGTCCTGTAACCCACTTCTGATTTGAGGCCAAATTCTCCAACACTAAGTCTAAATAGATAGTAGAGAATATGCATAATTACTGTTTTACACTTTTTACAAGGTCAATAATTGTCCGAAATATCACAGCTAAAATTCTTGTCTCAACACTTTTAACTTGGTGTCGACACTTGTCTTAAGGCAATGATCGACGGTGGATTGAGTTTTGTCTGTGTCTGTTGTCTTAGGTATGTTTTCAATTTTTGATCGACACCCGATGATACGTGACAGGGCGAAAATTGTTGAAATAAAGAATAAGCACTTGTTATGTTAAACACCCATTCCTTGGCTTATATCCGCCATTACTTCGCATATGCATGTACATGTATAATGGAACAATTTGCGTTATTGTAGTATTGATAAGATATTCGTAAAATATCAAACATACATACATATCGACAACACATCGTCAAATATTTATTTTAACTAATCTTCTCTTTGATGCTCATTTCTCTATCAGTTCAAGATAAATAGTTAACAAAGTTAAAAAAAATCGTTTTCAAATACACGTAGATACATATATTTGTGCTATAGAACTCCGATACCATTGCGGATAATTATTTTAAGAAATTAGTATTGTGGTTGTCTATGGATCCATAACTCCTATATGGTGCACATTACGTTTCCCATAAATTCATTATAATCGTTCCTTGCTTTTTTACTAATTAAAATTAGCTGCTACACGTAGAGTCTTATGACGTTACAAAGGTCAGTATTCTGTCGCGTTATTGTTGACATTTATTTACAAGGGGTAAATCTATCAGTAGTTAATACTAATCTCACAGACAACATTTAATTAATTAATGAGATTCAAGATAAGAAAACGACGAATGTATTATTTGGTGATTAATAAGCTGGACTATTCAAAATGGAGCGGTAAACTAGGCCGTACCTTAAGGCTTTAAACAGCCGAATTAATTTCTAGATTTTCTGGGCTAGATAATGTTGTTATATAATTTATGGAACTATTAACTAAAACCGCACGTAAAAACGAGACAAGTTGTTATTTTGTTTTGGGGCATCGCTTCACATTCGAAATACCAGTAATTTCTATAAATTGTGTAATTAGTGGGTACCAAATAAATAGTGATATTGTAGCGTCTTAACCGTAATTTTTATGTATTCTTTGTACGGTTTGTAAGTATACCAGATTTCTCCCACTTTACTTCATGTCATAACACAAAACAATAACTATGCGAAACCGTTTAATGAGAAGTGGTATCGGGTGTTCTAGAACGGCCATGGATTGTCTGCATCTCGCACAATACCGTCTTTACCTATAGCTAAGCATATTTCAGACGCCAAAAACCACTGCCTAAAATATAACCTCGTTAATATTATTACCTACTACGTGCAGTTTGGATCCGTTACTATCATGCCTGGTTAAAGAACAACGCGATATATTCGCACCATTAAACCGTGATATTATCAATACCTCCCTCTCGTTGGGTGGTTTCATTCAGACAGGAAAAGAGCTATCATAAAACCGCTTTTAAAGAAGACAAATTTAGACCACATCAAAATGAATTACCGTCCAGTTAACAACCTTGTCCTTTTTGTCCAAACTGGTCGAAAAAGCTTCTCTGATCAGCTTTACTAAGCACATGCACAGCCATCGTATCCTACCATCACACCAGAGCGCATATCGTAAAAACTATAGTACAGAAACATTAATCCTTAAAATATATGACGACATCTTACACAATATGGAACATCAATTATTAGTGCCGCGTTTGATACCGTGAACCATGAACTGCTGCTTGAAATCCTTCAAAAGTGCTTTTGCGTTTATGAAACCACAAATGACACGAATGGGTAGCTTCCTATCTCTCTGGCAGAAGCTTTAACGTTAACATCAACCAAACTAATTCGACACCAGCCGATATAAATTGTTGTTCCTCAAGGTAGTATAAACGGTCCCGTTTTCTTCACGTGTTATTCTAGCACATTGCAGTACAGTGTTAAGGGTGACCTTAATCTCGTTGGGTATGCCGATGACCATAACATTTACGGTAGTTTTAAAGCTGGCGAGATTTCATCGGAATTGGAAACGATCTCGCGTTTGTCTTCCACGATGGATGACATTAAACACTGGATACTTAGCAACCGACTTAAAATGAATGATGATAAATCAGAATGTATAGTTTTTGGTAGTAACAGAACTCTACAAAAATGTACAACAGAGATTAAAGTTGGAGATGTGTCTGTCACACGATCAAACCGTGTTAAAATTCTCGGTGGCTCAATGGATGAAAACCTCAGTCTCAAAAAACGTATCACAATAAAATTTCGAACCGCTGCAATATCACTATTCAATGTCAATCTGCCAAAAAATACCTTGTTACCGCTACAAAGAATTCAAAACCTCACAGCAAAAATGATCCTTGGACAGTAAAAATATTAAAGTTCAACAGATGCTCTGAAAGAGCTTCACATTTTGCCTATACATGCTCGTGCAGAATATAAACTATTGCTTCTAGTATATAAGTGCTTAAATAACCTTGCTCCCCAGTACTTGATAGATTTACTTAAACCCAACCCCAACCAATATTCGACACGATTTATATTTATATTCTTGTACATACTAAATTATTTATTTTAATTGTACAGTGCCACTGAATGCATGTATTGCAGTAATGAGCGCTATATTAAATGTAATAAACTTAAACCTATTAAACCCGGTACATATCTATGATCGCAATGGAAGTAGTTCATTCATTAATATAGATTCATGCTGATGCTAAAGAAGAGAGAGAGAGAGAGAGAGAGATGGGGGTTAACGTCCACTCGACACAAACTAGGTCATTTCGGTACTAATGAACATATGGTTTTTAATTTTATTTCAATAATTCGCTTGCGCGTAGGGGTCTTTAGCAGTAGGAGGAAACTGGAGGACCCGGAGAAAACCCACGAGGTTGGGCAGGCGACCCTACTCCTTGTCACGTACAACCGGGGATTCGAAACCACGCCAGTTGACTCAATGACAAAACGTGCTAACCATTCGGCCATCCACCCCACCCCCCCCCCTGATGCTAAAGAAGGTGTGAGTTATTATTTATAAGTTCTTTGACAATAAATCAATTACAGTGTGTTTTATATGTAATGCTGAAATATATTACGGTTATTGCGAATATAAATATAGATTTTATGTAAATAGCTCCAAAATCTTCTGTGAGCTCTTTGCCAACCGACGAGAAATGTAATGTCCAATTTAAAAAAAAATGGGTGATAAGTTCTAAATGGATTATAGACCAAAAACTAAAGAGAGAGAGAGAGAGAAATGGGGTTAAACGTCCACTCGACACAAACTAGGTCATTTCGGGACTAACACATGGTTCAATTTTATTTCAATAATTCGCTTGCGCGTAGGGGTCTTTAGCAGTGGGTGGAAACCGGAGGGGTCTTTAGCAGTAGGAGGAAACTGGAGGACCCGGAGAAAACCCACGAGGTTGGACAGGCGACCCTACTCCTTGTCACGTACAACCGGGGAATCGAAACCCCGCCAGTTGACTCAATGACAGACCGTATGACACAGCGCGCGCGTGCTAATCATTCGGCCATCCACCCCACCCCCCTGCCAAAACTAAAGAATACGTGTGTAGTGTAGTTGTAGTATCTTGGTGCTTTAACATCTGCTTCCACAGAAGTGATATCGCAGACAAGACATAGGAGTGTAGTGTGTTATAAACTTTAGTTCTGTAGACCACACAAAACCTAAGATTGCGATCTACAGTACTACACAAAACCAGGACCCTGTTTCACAAAAACTTAAATCTCCTTAAAGTCGTCTTAAACTAAAATTTTATCCTAACTTAAAGATACATTATGGGAGATTAGATACAGAGCTGGTAGTTCTTACTATAATAGTTAAAAACTAGATAATGTAAAGAGAATTTGCTGAAAATTTCAGACAAATTGATCCACTCTGAACCGAGAATTTAGTGACTGAATGTTAGGCCTAGCCTCGATCATCATTATTAAAGTCAGTACGATAAAATATATAGTCTCGATTATCCACTTTTTGGATTTAATCATCAATGAGCGTTGAGCAGCAGATTGGATTCTAATCCAGTAAATATCGATAGTTGATTATGGTCTGGATAAGTTAATTAATGTATAATTAATAATTTAGATAACGGCCTAAAGAAAGACCTGCAATAGGCAGATTTAGTTCTTGCATAATGTATGTTTAAGATAGATGAGTTTCACAAAACGATTTTAAGCCTTTTAGATAAAATCCACTAAAATAATATTGTAAGTTAAAATTTTATCTTAACTTAAAATAGTGGCGTTTAACAATACTATTTTAGGGGCAATTTTAACTAAAATCAGTTTTACCTTTAGACAATCGCCACCCGCTCCTAACTT